AATTTTGTTTTGCTCTTATTCTAATAAACTGATTGTTTGTATGTAGTCTTTTCTTTCTCTATCAAAGAAAGTCCAACATTGTGAAGGGACTCTGATATATATAAGGATCTTTGTTTTGACTTAAATTGTCCCCTACACTTAAATTCATTCTCAACCTCTAGCTTTGTACACAATAACTGGTAGGCTTCAGTAACCATTCCAAGATATAGAAAACATAAACCCACGCCATTCAAGATTTCTGCCATGTTAAGAACGTCGTTGTCAGCGACGAAGTTGGCTGCTTCTCTGTAAGTATTCAAAGCTTCATTAAGTTTTCCAAGTCGTTGTCTACACCACGCTACTTTGATATGGACAAGTAATGCTTCTCGTTATCATCGCTGTATTTGTACAAGATATCAACTAAATGCTTTTCTGCATATTTAAAATAAGATGTACTGGTGTAACAGCATACTTTTGAATCAAATTATCAAAAGGTCAACACTTGGCTCACCTAAATAGCAAGAAGTTTGTCTTCGTTGGATTCAAATAACTTTATTGCCAATTGAAAGTTTCCAAGTTCTTTTTGGCATGTTGCGATATGATATGAAATCTTTATCATAATGAAATCGCTGCTTTTTTCTCTTAGCATACTTTTGCATGTTTGGTACGAAGAAATTGCTGACTCGTACTCTTCGCTGCATCGGTATGCATGTGCTGCAGCTTTAGCGAGCTGTGCTGCAACTGTGAGAGAGTTTTCTTCATGTTCTTGTCCTTATTGATGGACGTGAGAACGACAAACATCGCAGAGGCGACAACGTCAACTATATACATTGCTTCATCATTCTTTACTTTTGCATGGCATCCAGCATCCTTTCAGCATTGCTTTCATCAAGCTTGAATTTTCAAGCTTTCACCACGTGGCGACAGCCTCTGAAACAAAGTTTGTTCATTTCTCTCCACAACATTTCTGTATACAGCGTTTCCATCAGTTACTTCGTTGACAAAATAACGCAACCAAGTCGACAAGCTATGCGGTGTTTTCAATTTCAAAGACGGGGGTGCAATGGATAAAGCAGAGGCTATTCTTACGTGTTCACCATCTTTTCCAAATAGTTTCATTGCTTGGGGGATTGCTTGTGCCAATGGACAATTGCCACCAACGCCTCCGTCTACAAATTCATCATCGCCAATTCTGACTGGAGTATCAAAGTAAATTGGAGCATTTGAGGTTGCGAGCAGGACTTGGTAGGTTGGGTAAAGTTTGTAGTCTTCGTTTGCTGTATCAAACAACACCAGCTTTGCTTGCTGCCAAGTTTTTAGCCACAGCTCCGGCCACATTTTAAATTGTCGATATTTCTAAAATCTTCAAGTTTACAATCGCCAAACTGATCTTTTAGTACTTTCTCTAATTTGGCTTTTGAGTATGTTTTAAAAGGAATGTTCGGCAACTTAGGGTATGAGAAAGAAACTTTGCATTCTCGATTTCTTGAAAATTTGTTTAATTTTTTACGATACATCTCAATGCATTCATCCACGCTCATTTGTTCCCTTTACTGTCGTCTCCATCAATTTTATTTCCACCAACCAAACCAAACGCAATCAGACCACCTGTACTGGTACCAACTATCATGTCGTAAACATCGGTGGATGAATGGGATCCTCTACTCCATCCATAAAGTCAATCAGAAACTCTCTAACGTTACTATCTTTTAAGAAATCTCTTCCTTTTCATCATTGTCTACAAGGCAGCTCACATCATCAGGATTTCTTAACACAATCGTCGCCAATCGTAGAACGTCGTCCAATATCTTCAGCTCCAATATACCTCGACTTCCTCCACCATCTAAGGACAGTATGTCAATTGTTTTTTTTGATGCTTCCTTTCCCTTGCTCATGACGTGTATACACAAAAATAACTCAGTTTTTCTTTAACGACAAGATTTAAGTAACCACACCTTCCTTTCTGAGAAAGAAACAAGTTTCTCACGGCAATATCTTAGTTTTGTTAACGAATCTCATATCAAGTTCCACCCTACGAATAAAAATAAAAGCTGTAAGAAGCCAATAAAATAAAGTCTCAGAGAAATTTTCCATACTTGTTTTCCAAGATCAGGAGTTACAAGCTAAGGAAATATTAGATGGCTCCTGGAAGAGCAGGTCCCTGACCTCACTTCGAATAAGAATGACAATATTCTCGTATTTATTATAATGAAATTATTACTATTACTAATATACATAAGAAAGAAATCTTAGTGCTAACTTAATATGAATATAGGGCAAGTAAAAAAATTAAACTAGCCAGCTGACTTGAATTATATATGCTTAGAATTATATTGCATTGAGCTCCCCTTAATTATGTTTGCTTAAAAAATAAGTCGTTTTTGGTGTTTCTCACATAAAGTATAGCATGTCTATTTTGTCTATTTATCTTTTACATACATGAAATATGAACCATTAGCAAGTGAGAGCTATTTTGTGGGAAAGATAAAAAACAACACAACATAAGATGTTAGATTGCAGTAGTTGATTAACTATTTCACTAAGTGCCTCAATGAATACTGCCAACGGCATCGGGCAGTTGACTAAAAACGAAAGATGAATACTTTAAAATTAAATCGTACACAACGCAAATTAACATCTTCATTATAACAAAAGTTGTATTGTAACTGAAATCAGTTCGAAATTTCTTTCATATAAAGGAGAAAGTCAATCTTTGCGATGGTGACAGATGTCACAGTCCAGGGCATTCGGCAATCTATGGCATTTATCGTGGATGAGTCATCAAAGTATGTTATTGATTTCTGTCTTTAAGATACGGAAACAAATTCTTCTAACGCGAACAAATATGAGGAATGTAAACGTTCCTTTTAGAAAACGACAAAATATCCTTTGCCTAGTGACACTAAAAAAACTGCTTGTATTTAGTTTATATTCGCGCAAATGAAATTGCCATAATATAAAGCTCAGCAAGATGCTACATTCATTTACTAACATTGTCAGGAACAATCTTTGTTAATGGTTCCTGCACATAGCACAAGGGTCTCCTGTTTGTGAAGATTTGCCATATTTCACACTCTCAAACCTATTATGCCCAGAATAGTTTTCCGCTTAAAACATCTCTTTTGTAGCTTTTCTTTCATTATAGGGTACTTATACTTTTGTTTAAAATATAGTTTTAATTGACCAACGTCTTAAATTTTTATTATTGTTCGGAAGGCATGCGATAATTTTATTAATGTCAATGCACAGTAGGAAAATGAAATCAAAACAGTGTTTTGGTCAGTTGTCATAATTGTCAAAATGATGCTGTTTGTATCAATGCAAATTGGTAGAATGGCTGATATTCATATATGCAGGATATACCGCAATCAATTAGTTTGAAATATAATGTTTTATATGACTATTAGCCTTATGATTATATGTGATGTGATATGATGTTGCATAGTATGTTATATAACTGTTATTTGATGTTATATATAAGACTGGATCAAGCAACTCTATATTCGCAGTACCGAAAACAAAAATCGCTGCATTTTCATCATATTTCATCATATTTCATCATATTTCTGGCAATTCTATAAACTGGTTGACTCCTTAGTTATGTTCATTACATGTTGATAAGTCTGGATTGTTCTCGTATTTATTGCCCTCCAATGCAAGATAATTGCCCTACAATATATTTGCTGTGCATTTTCAAAAGTTGGTCCCTTCATTTTTGTCTTCAACTTTTGTGCCAAATGCTTGATCCAGTCTTACTTCAAGGTCAGTGACATCAATTCCTCCAATTATCTCAAAATAAGAGTGGATAAAACTGCGGCCATCAATCATGCCGACCTTTTCTCAAACAAAATTCAAGTTTTATATCAACACTATTGCGACTTTATTAAAGTAACACTGACTATCCTATGTAAAAAATGAAAAGTTACTGCTTAGTTATGTGTATGAGACCTTCAGATGTTTAAGTCGCGTTTACTGTGATTGGTCATATAATCACATATCGTAAATGCTTGTTTTAGCGCTGCAATCAGAATTTAAGAAAGTTATTTAGCGCCGCTCCCGGTTAAGCACTACAACTCAGATATTGATAAAGTATAATTTTGGTAATAAAAGAATACATTAGTTTTTTGTTGCACACCTATGTGAAATTTTTGTCAAGTTATATAGTATTGGACTTTCAAAATGGCGGTTTTTGATACTACTCCCTCTAACATTAGCAATTTTAATTTAAGGAATAACATCCTGTAGGCATTGAATGAGAAATCTATTTGCTGTAATAATGCACATTTAAACATAACGTATGATGGGGGGCGAGTGAAATGGACAAATAGTTTAGAATTATTGAAAGAATTTGTCAAAACTAATCTTATGGTTCCAGGCCAATGGACTTCACCTGGAGATCAATCTCGACGTTTTAAAAGTACTCGCTCTGACGTGTGCATCGCATGGTATCAAAAAAGCAAAAAACCTTATTATTCCAAGGCAAAGTAGGTAAAATACTAAGAGAAGTTCTGATAAATATTTGTAAAAAGACGGCTTATCTCCTCGTCCGGCTGAAAATATCGTTGCTGATAATTCAAACAAATCAACTGACAGCTAAAAATATTCAAATGTACAAGTACATTGCAATTGCTCGTGCGAGAACACTCAGAATGACATAGAAGAATTGAAACTAAATGTGTAAATATTGCAATCTAGAATTGATGCATTACAGAGCTTAGCAAATGTAAACGAGGCATGCAACTCTAATAATATGTATCTGAAGGAGACTAATCGCGGGATCTTGCTGACGAAAAAAAGAAATCTGAATGGCTACAGTTGGAGGTTGTTTCCTTTAAGAAAACGATTGTCCATTTGGCTGAGTTTAAATTAAGGTATGAAACAAACTTGGAATCGGTAAATGGTGTAGCAATAAGCAATGATGAGATTGGCCAACCTTCCAGCGCCCATATTGAGGGAAGTACTCCGAATCAATGTGTTATGCATAATCAGTCAACTCCCTTCCCAAATATTACTTCTATGATAAACATTGATTTTCATCAAATACAGCATACAAACAAAGGAGAAACTGCAAATGTTTCGCTTAATGACCCCATAAGATTGATTCCAACATAAAAACCCACCCGTGCGTCTAGCCAATGAGAAATAAATCTCGTGCGTGGTTAGGATGTCTATCACAAACCGAGCCAACTGAGGGAAATGAGAACTATTCTGTTTGTACTGCGATAGCCTACCCAAGTAAAACTGTTGTGGAAAAGACTAGTTCAACCGCTTTTAAAAGTAAGGCTTCCATTTACAGCTATTACATTACCAAAAAGGCCAACGAAATAAACACCAGCTCTATAAGATTACTAAAAGAGTAAATGAGGAATCTTATGAAACAAAAGAACAATATGTTGTGCATCAAGAAAATAAATTAGCTTTTGAAGGCAATAGCAATACCCATCTAAGTCAGCCCAATACCATAAGATATCCTACGCTCAGAAAATATAAAGATAACAGACAGAGAAACAATAACTATGAACCTCGTGAAGTCTATAAAACCTAGAGAATGAACACCATTATTGGCAACAGAATATCAAATAAAGTAAATTGTCGTCCTTTTTTTCCTTGAACCTTTATTTTTTATACTATTTGGAGCCAAAAGTGGAGGGGATGGCTGAACTATGTCCACAAGAACTTGAAGGTCAAAACGCTGTAAAAAACCCACTAAACTTGATATACATCAAAAGATCTTCCGACTTTTCTGTTCTACGAAATGCTCACAAACATGAATTTGTACCTTCCTTATTACTGTCTAATACAACGTCAATTGCTCCTAAAATTGACGAGATTGCGAATACCATATTGATGTCAGACACTGATGTTGTTATGTTTACAGAGACTTTGTTAAAGGAACCAATTCCAAACAAGGCAATTAACGATGAATTTCTAATTATCAACTGCTAAGAAGGGATCGAGCTCAAAAGTTGCACGGAGGTGTCTGCTTATACGTAAAGTCATCAATATTCTGCCGCCAGCTTTCAGATATGCAAAGTGAAGAAGAATAGTGGGCCATGCTTCGCCCTCACCGTTTACTTAGAGGGTCTCATCAAATTATAGTCGGTGTAGTCTATCATCCCCCGGGAGAAGATAATGATCGTATGATTTAACACATACAAAATACATTGGAAAGTTTCGAGTCATCTTTCCCCAATAGTGCAATTATTATTGCCGGTGATTTCAATAAACTAAAATTGAAGCGCACTGTAAAATTATTCCAGCTAAAGCCAATGGTCAGTTTCCCAACCCGAGGACCAAATACTCTTGATCAGATTTTTTCAAACCTAAATAAGTATTGTAACCTACCGACTAGTGCGTCACCATTTGGTCTCTCGGATCATGTGACAATTAAAATCAAACCAAAAGAACGTACTGTTTCTTGCCAATCTCAGTGAATAGTATAACGACAAAGTAAAAAGGCTAGTATTGGCAGAGTTTCAATTGCTGTTAATGCCCCAACGTTCCCTCAAGGTTTATAAGTATGATCGTCCATGGATGACTAGACATCTAAAGACACTGATCTCTAAACGCCAAAAAGCATTTTAGCCATGATCAATGACTTAGAAATATATGGAAAAACAGAATCAATAATGTGGAAATTTGCAGATGACACCACTACTTCAGAACTAATTTCATATGATCGAAAAACTTATCTACAACATGAAATCAACCACATTGCTAAGTGATCAATCAAAAATAAACTCACCCTTAATCCAAAGAAATGTAAAGAAATTTTCATATGTTTCAGAAAAACTACTGCAACGTTTGATGAAATCTTAATCGATGATCAACCTTTATAAAGAGTTCAAAATAAAGTAAATGGTTTGAACCAGGGAATATCGTTACTTTTTGACTCTGAAGACGACTACCGAAAGGTTGTCGAAACGTCAGTCAACAACAACAAAAACAGTCCTTCTCAGGGCTATACCAACCTAGACGATCTACATTTACAAACATGTAGATATCAAAATGTTGAAATTTTGGGACTCACAATAAGAAATGATTTGAAATGGAACGACCACATAAATGTTATCACTAAAAAGGCAGCAAAACGTCTATACTTCATTAAGCAGTTGAAACGGGCTGATGTAGATAAAAAAGACCTTGTTTGTTTTTACTGCGCTAAAATAAGATCAATTCTTGAGTACTCTTGCCAAGTATTTCACTCTGCTCTACCAAAATATCTATCTGATGATTTAGAGCGTATACAAAAGAGAGCCATGGGCATCATATTTCCTGAGCACATTATAAAGATGCCTTAACAGCAGCTGATATTCCGACCGGGGGCGGATCTAGGGTATGTCAAATCACTCACGTGACTTATGTTTATAGTTCAAAAATTATTTATCAAATTTAATCATTACAATTTTTTTTGGTCATTAAATTTTCGTTCTGTAATCGTTTCGATTTCATCGTCAAAATTCTGTTTTATGTATGAAAACATACACAAACACCACCTTAGTAAACAGATCAGTAGATAAAAACATATCTAGAATTATATTAATTGGCTTACTGATAAGTGGGGTGGCTCGACTGGTTCGACCGATAATGGAGTTCAATAGCGCTTATTTAAGCCATTCAATTGGTGAATAGCCAGATCAGTGGATGATCTGGAATAATCTCGACCGATAAGTGGGGTGGCCGGACCGATAAGAGAGTAATTGCTATCGTGTAATTGGTTCGTTTAAATTTTGTCTTACTATGATTGGTTTGACCGATTTTGATTGATAGCAAACTAAACTAACGTATTCAAGCTCACTGTCTAAATTGAATGTTTGATCGTTTCATAGTAATTTTCTAAAGCATGATAAAAACTAAACTACACTCAGATGGAATTTATGGAAATCTTATACAAATTCATACATTGACATGAATGATGGTATCCAAACTGTGAATTTTTTCAAGAGGGTGAAAAATTTATGGATGAATTGTAAATGCTTGGCAAAGACGATCTCGCAAGCGACATTTCAGTAAATGATGTTCAAAAGCAAGCCAACATTGTTTTGAGTTTTCTCAGCAGAAATTTACATCCAAAGTCATAAGTAACGGACAACTGAAGTGTATGCATAAATGTAAAATATCAAAGTCAATTTATGCGAGTGTGTAAAGGTGTGGGTACATCCTACATTCCTGCAAATATATTTCAATGGACAAAAAATCTATAGCCATAGGGTGCCATACTATTATTTAATTTATCATAAACAAATGTTTGGGGCTTTTCACTTTATGATCATTTATCATTCAATCATTAGACTGTTATACTACACATTGTTTAAGATATGAGAAAACTAACATTGATTACATGAGAAGCTGTTTGCTATAACCTGTGATTTTGAGTCTTTTCTGATCCACGAAGCTTTTATTTTGATGATTTGACTGGAATGGTATTAAACTAATTATTTCACATACATGAAATGTTGTCCCTTGTCACATATTGTCCCCTTTTCTAACTGAACATCTCATGTAGAGATGTCAAGGTGTGTTGATCTACAGCTCATACAAGATTGTTTGCCATAAATTCCAATGGGCTATTTATGTATGAAAAACATTTTCTATAAAGTAAAAATATGTTCCTATACATGCAGATAAACCTCAAAATTTGGTAAAACAGCAAAGTATTTTTCATGATCACTAGGTAATTTTTCTGATGGTCATTATAATTTCTAAACTAAATCATTTCAGACTTACATTTAAACTAGCTTTGATCATATATTTATTGGAAATTTATCATAACAAGTAAGCATAACACATGAACCAATTTTAACACTCATGTAACTATATGATGGAAGGCATGTTGGTTGCATTCTGTTTGTATTGGCAAATACAATGCTACTGATGATTGCTATATAGCACACCTTGCATTTACTTACAGAAGATAACAGTCTAGTGAGATGCCTAATAAACATTAATGGCATAAAGCTGTCCTTAATAGCAAATTTTCACTCTGATAATTTTTTCTTAATCTTTGGCAGAAAAAAATTTGAGTTTTTTCTCAAAAGGTGAATTTGCTGCCCTGTATGTGGAGATGGGTAAAGGGTTACAATAAACTTGCATGGTTTGAAGTCTGAGCTTTTCTACATCTATGAACTGTCTCTTTGAGTACCAAGCTTCTAACTTAACTTATTATATAGAGATTTGAATGGGGGTCTCTAGGGTGGTCTATGCCTGACAACTTGGTAGAAATTTTCAAAAATCAATATCTTTTTTGGAATAGCATTATTGTAAATTAAATTTTATGTTCCTAGACATGCTATTTAGCCATATTTTTGGCATGATAATGAGCCCAAGTATTTGGCAATACATTCAAGTATTATTCACTTCAGTTTTTTTTTTGAAAAAAACGTAAGCAAAATGTTTTGTATCTACGCAAAAACGATGCCCACAAAATACATTTTGTATTCCTCTACAACGCTGAAAATGGCATTTCCAAGGCTCTGAAATTCAAAATTTCCTAGGGGAGGATGCCTCGGACCCCTCCTCAGGTGCGGAGAGCCTCCGACGTTTTATGAATCCGCCCCTGATTCCGACCCTATTTGACAGACGTAAATCTCTCAGTAGGAGATTCTTCAATGATATAGTGAAGTAAATGGTTTGAACTCGGGAGTATCGTTACATGTTCGTAAATGTAGATCGTCCAGGTTGGTATTGTCCTGAGAAGGACTGTTTTTGTTGTTGTTGACTGACGTTTCGACAATCTTAGCGGTAGTCATCTTTAGAGTCAAATGAGGAGTAAACGTCAGGTTAGCCGTATTTGTTATCTTGTTCTTACATCATTGTATTATGTGTACAGGAAATGTGTATTGTTATTGTGAAGTAGTGTGAAGTGAAATGTTTTTAGTTGTGATGAGTGATTTGGGTGTGATGTTTTTAGTTGTAATGTGTGGGTGTCAATTCTGTATTGTCATTGTGAATTAGTGTGATCAAACAAACGATCAACTAAAAACATTTCACTTAACACTAATTCACAATGGCAATACACATTTCCTGTACGCATAATACAATGACGTAAGAACCACATAACAAATACAGCTAACTTGACGTTTACTCCTCATTTGACTCTGAAGATGACTACCGCTAAGGTTGTCGAAACGTCAGTCAACAACAACAAAAACAGTCCTTCTCAGGACTATACCAATCTGGACGATCTACATTTACAAACATGATATAGTGAAGGATAAGAATCACAAACTTTACAATTTATTATCTCAAAGAACTTATAGCATTTATAATCAGCTAAAGACAAATAAAACATTTAATGCAACTAAATATTGCACAAATTGTTTTAAAAACTCTTTTATTCCGAATTTCTCAAACGAACATATCTTTTAAATTGTACGTTGCCCATAGGTTGTACATTCAATCTGCTTATGTAATACATCTTTAATTTAACTTCATTTAAGTTTTACTATTATTAATCTTAATGAATGTAAATAACTGTATTATGGTAACTATAAGTAATAATTGTGTATAATACATGTAATTCAGTTGTAAAAACTGCAAGATGTATTAATATTAAATAATTTTTTGATTTTTGATTTTGATTTATTGTATGAAGTAAATAGATTTTGTCTAATTATCATTTTTGGAGGGCAATAAAAATATTTGGTGTGAGCCTTTAGTAGAAAATTATTTAAATAGGGCTAGGCGCCCACTTAAGCGCCGCTCCCGGATAAGCGCCGCACTCAGAAAAATGAAATTAGGTGAGCACCGCGGCGCTGAATCGAGCATTTACGGTAGATGACAAACGAAATGTTGACTGCACTTCTGAAAAGTTTTGTTTACGTTCGGTGATGGATTTTGTGTTTTCTTGTCGTAGAGAATTTGAAGTGATTTCGGCAGTTTTTATGCGACTCTTTGATCGTTAAGGCAGGATAAATAATTGAGCTGATAGGCTTGCACGATACTCATGTATTTGCTTAAAACTTTAAGAGATATTTTTGCTTGTACTGGTGTTAGCTGTTAATGAAATAGTTACGTTTATTGAAGAAAGAAAGTTTGCTTTAGATAAGGAACAATATAACTTGGTGGCATCAATATACGTTTTGATCACTTGAAATTCATTTAATGTTCTCTTATGTCCCTAAGTATTAACCATAACAATGTTTATCCTTGAATGTACTAATTTATCAATACATCAACAATTGGTGTTTTGAAATGAAATCGTTTTTAGCTTCTAGGTTCCGTTCTCTTTTAATAAACAATAGTTAAAAAGAAACGCGCACATCCTGACTTTCGGATGCGTTGAGTAACATTTTACTGTTAATACGAAATTCGAATGTTAGTGGTTTAATTATTTACATTAAATCGAACTTAATCGGATAATGAGGATGAGATTCATTTAATGAAGTAGAACGAATCAGAGCAGTCTAATAATAGCGTGTCACAGGAACCATCGGATGTTCAAATCACGTTAGGTTGCGTGAAAGTTTTTAAAATCCTAAGATGTTAGAAGTGTACTGGGTTAGGCTTTAGTCTTGATTGTGTGAAATATTAAATATTTTAAACTGCTAAGCACAAGGTGAACATTCGCTCTTTTCGGTCAGTATGTTTAATTATATCTTTTAAAAAGTATTGTAAAAAGCATAACCTATTATAATAAAATAAATTTAGAAATGGCTTCAACAACATAAATTGAATATTTAAATAATTTATTAGAAATTGTTTTGAAGTAACCTGATATTAAATAGCAGTGTGAACAGGCTACGAACCATTAAGTTTAGATTGACAGAGTAACATAAATGACATAAAGATATAGTTTTGTGATATCCACGATAAATTACCGATTGCTTATTTTGAATGGTTTTTAGTCATTTTCCTACATCATATTCATTGTTCCTTAAGCAATTATTTTCATTCGTTTATTGCAATATTTATAAATATAATATGTACATTTATCACTCACCTCTGTTGGCTGGAGTGAGAAGATTGTTCTCGTCAGAAATCTGTCCCGATATCTCTGCAAGTCTTTTCAAAGTGAGGCTGTTTGTGTCGTTGCAAATGCTTTTATGAGTGTTTAAGTCCCTCCCCCAACATGAACGTTAAAACACAGCAGGTTCATATTTCGCAAGAAGTTTAAAATTAGTAAAATGCATAGCATATTTATTGTTCCACAATTATTGCAACACCAAAAATTGACCACCAACCATTACCTTACATGGAGTGATTTCATTACCATTGGTCAGATCATACACCCTGTATTTGTTTGAATTTCATAACAAAAAATACCAAGAATGCCTGAACACATGCGATGGTTTTATTCAAAAGCAGTTGATTTTAATGTTGATTTAGCACTTCAATGTTAAGTAACATCTTGCTTCAATCTTTACTTTGCCTAATTGTTTTACTTGTTAATAACCTGTATAATGTCTTTTATTACACCGGCTGTAAAACTAAAAAAATCGCTGGATCGCGAGAGATTGATGATTGGCATATGATATTCATATATGCAGGATATGCTGTTTTCATTACTTTTGAAATTCATTGTTTTATGCGGATTATAACATACATTTTTGAACACGAATCTTCCTATTTTAATCTTCCTACGGCCATCAATCATATCAATATTTTTTAAAGAAAATTGAAGTTTTCAATCACAACATTTGCTACTTTATTTGACAAAAGAGCATTCCCGATTATCCACCATATAAAAAATGAAAAGTTACAATGTAGTACAGAGCGATAAGATGTGAAGTGTTTTAGTCACATTTCGCTGATTGCGGAATAATCACGAAAATATTGAACGAAATCTTCGCGTTTTTGTAAGGGGATTTAGTGTTTCCTTGTTATATAGATGTGGAAGTGATTTTGAAAGATATTCATGGCAACTGTTTGATCGTCAGGGCAAGTTAAATAATTAGGCTTGCGTGATGCTCAGTTATTTTACAAAAGCTATTGGAGATATTTTTGTTTCTACTGTTATTTTGAAACGAAAATTGTTTTGCTCGCTTTTAGGTTCTGTGCTTATTATAATACAAAATTACAATAGTTTATACACGCTCTTCCGTGGAGTAAAATTTGGTTTTTAATGCATATTTTAAATGTTGGTGTTTTAAACTGCATGTCACCATTTACCAAAGTAGGCCCTAAATTCGCCACAATACCTAATGGACTTTGATTCCCTGATAGAGTGGCTCTTTTTGTAACTATTTTAGTTTTTGACTATCAGACTATCTTTTCCACAGATTAAATAAAATTACGCCCACCAGTCGAAATTCCTCAGCATCACCCCCTGGTTTGTTGCGCAATGCCTTCAAAGATAATTAATATTTTACAGAACTTAATCGGGTAATGAGGAATAAAATCATTTGTAGAAATAGGAAAAGTTGATTGAAATTCCGTTGTAAGAAATGATCTAGTGTCCCTATAGTCTTGTTATCTTAAAATAAACCTTTTTGTTTTTATGCAATGTAGCTAAAGAGTCTTTATGTACAGTATAAACATAAATAGTTCAGCGAAGATAAATTTTCTACAATACCTAAAGGATTTTGATTTCCTGATAGAATGATTCTTACTCCAACTGTGAAAGATTTTGTTGACTTGCAGTTTTAACATATATCGGTATTGAAATTGGTTGGAAGATAGCCAGCTGAACCGCATGCAAACTGAATAAAATTACGTCAAAATTCCTCAGCTTCACCCTCTGGCTTGTTGCGAAATACCTTCAAAGATAATTTCCATTTTAAAGAATTTAATCGGGTAATGGGGAATAAAATCATTTGATGAAATAGGAAAAGTTGAAATAGAACCTGACTAATAACTGCGTGTCGCTGGTAAAAGTCACGGGCTATATTTTGTCCTTAAAAATCCCAAGATTGCAGAGGGGCACTGGGCTACGCTTTAGTCTTCATTTTGTGAAATATTTATAATCAAACTGTCAAGCAGAAGGTAAATATTCGCTTCTTTGGGTCACTATGATTGATTATATCTTTTAAAATATTTGCAAAAGCACACAACCTAATATAATACGATAAAATAAACTAGTCGCATAAAAATGTGCAATAGCATAATTTGAATAGTTGAATTCATTAGAAATTAATTTTTTTAAATGGCATGATTTGAACTGGCCGAGGGCGCTGGCTACGAACCATCCAGTTTAGACTGACTGAGTAATGTAAATCATATATAAAGATGCAGTTCTGTGATATTAACGATGAGTTATTGATTGAATGGTTGTTAGTCATTTTCCCATTTCAGACACTCCCTAAATATACGCCCTCTACAAGTCCCTCCCTAAATATAAACGAACAATCGCAATGAAAAGCCCCACCGGGCTCTTCTTATTTAAAGAATTTTAATTTATTCAAGTGAATATCGTACTCATGTTCACTAATAAATATTTCATCATACACTAATACAACCAACCATTACCTTTAACGGAGTAATTTCCGTAAAATTGTTGCAATTACGTAAAAAAATACAGGTTGCTGAAAATTGTTCATGTTAACTGTTGTAAAAAGAGAGCACAAAGGCAAAATAAACGATTTCCGTTTCAAAACAACGGTAAGAGCAGAAGTGACCCTGCTGAACATCAATTAAAACAAGTTACTTTACTTACGTTTACTATCAAAATGTTGGCACAAAAACTCTTAAAAACGGTTCGAAACAAGCTTGGCGAACTCATCATTCATAATCAATGTTATCTATGAAAGCCTAATTAATTAAATTGCCCTAAAAAACAAACAGTCGCTACCAAAAACTTTCAAAATCACTTAGAAATCTCTACGACAAGAAAACATTAAATCCTCTCACAGAACATGTACAAATCTTTTCATAAGCGCTTCGAACACTTTGTTCGTTATGTATGTTATTATTTAACTACCACGGAAACATGACTGAAAATGCAGCATTCTATCCCACATACATACCTAGAGAGTAGCTTTTCATTTTTCACATCGTTGATGGTCACGAATGCTCTCTTGTTATTTAGTGTGATAAAGTTGCAAACATTTTTTATCTAAAAGTCAAATTCCGTTTAGGAAAAATATCGGCATGATAATTGACCGTCGGAAGATTGATAATTGGAGGGATTTATTAAAGTGAAATTCATGATGCATCATTTGTTCTATATTCATTAAAAGAGTTCTTTGTTGTTGAGTTTGTAATGTGTTGAAGAATGTGTGCGCCGGCTTTTGCATGCAATTTAAGGTCTTACACATTTACACTTCCTTTTTCATAATATATGTTCTTGAAAGTCCTTAAAAAGTGTATAAATTTCATCACTCTTGCTTTGTACGGTATTCAATGTTTCTGTTGAACCTAATTCACATTTACTTTGCATTTATAGGCTTTTAGTTGATAACTTAACAAAACATTTCTTGTTGTTTATATTCAATGGTTCTTCGTTTCTGTCTTGTTAAGTTTTTCAAAATATAAATGTGCCAAACAGTGAGCAGTTTTTTTGAGAAACCATACATGCATTGAGTAAATGCATTTATGAAATTCATGTATGAAATTGTTAATTTATGATCACTGCTTAACTGACCTATACTGTTCAGACATTCTATCCAAATTACTTTGTTTATATACATTTATTTGAATAAAGAACACTTTCGCTATTCCCAGTCTATAACTTTGCTGAAGTATTGGTATTATTTCATCTAAACAAACAAGCAATTCATCGTGTGAAATTTATGCTGTATTTCTTACTTGGATTTTTGTACAGGCGGCGTGCATTTTCAAAATGATCATTGTAGTTTAATATGGTTATTTTCAACTGAAGGTAATCTAAAATCTTAGTGGTCATTTCACTCATATTGTTACAAAATGCCGTGTTCATAGTGACAAAGCAGGGCCTATGGTAAAGAAACCATCAAGTGTTTAGTGTATAATAAGTCCTTGTCTAATTTGTTGAGTGTAATGCCACTGTAGGAAATGATCGAATGTCTCTCTAGCCTTGATATCGTAATTAAACTAAACCAGTTTTTATTTTGTATATGTGCAATGCAAAGAGTCTTTATGTACAGTGTAAACATAAATAGTTCATTGTAGATGTTGAGTGTTAAATAATCACACCAGCCCCAATTTTTGAAAGGTTAACAGACTCAAATGTCATGTTACTATTGGTCACTGTAAGATCACTTTAACTTTTGTGATTATTAAGAGCTTTGGCACCTGGCTTTTTGTCGCACATAGTTGAATCGATTAAGCTAGGTAAATTTGCCAAATCTTACACATGCAACAACATGATTTGTGATTACATGTAGCTATTGATATATGGCATATTCTAAATAGTTTCATTTGAAGTGGAATATTTTAAAATAGCATTCAAAATGGCACGGTTGGCCAGCTACAAACAATCGAGAATAAACTGACAGAAAACATAAAGCTATAGGCTATAGCTATGACCTATACACAGATGTAGTTTTAACGACATTGATAATAAATCAAAGTGGTTGTTTGTGTTGAGCTCGCGTATTTGGTTATTTTCCTTAATAAAAAATTTTCTACTGAAGAAATCGTTTTCATTCATTAATTGCAAAAATTTATAAATATCATTGCTCTTACATGCACCTCTGACGAATAGAGTGAGGAGATTGTTCACTAAAAATTTGTTCTAATGTCTGTGCAAGTTTTTTGAAGGTGATGCTGTTGGTATCAAGACACAGCAGGTTCCTATTTCGTAAGAATTTTAAATTTAATAAAGTGCACAGCATTTTACTAATTCTTCACCAATTATTGCAACTTATAACTCTGACACGACGAACAACTACCTTAAACGAAGTGATTTCTGTAGCATTTTTGCAATTACGCATGTTATTGAGGTGAAAAATATAGGAAAAATGTAGGAAAAATATGTTATGTCATTGCGTATGTTATTACGTATGCTACGTATGAATAAGAAATTGCTATCTTTTTAAAGTTTGGATTTGGACCAATCGATGAAAGTTGCTACATTTTTGTAACACTCAAACTCCAACTACATATGGAAATTGTGTTCGAAAGAGATTCCACATTGTATTTGTTTGTATTTCCAATGCTAACAAATTT